GAAGGAAAAATGGGGGGGGGGGGGATTTAAAGGATAGCTGTGCTATCATTTAAATTTAGGAGAGCAAAGCTGCCTCTAAGCACAGAATGAACGGATGATATAAAAATTCACCCTAGTAGAGCAGTGAGCTGGTGTTCAGCGGTTTGGCCATTTTTTGTTCCCTTCCTCTTGTTCAAGCACCAATCCAATGCTGAAAAAAACCACACATGCTGCTATTAACATCGCAGAGACCTCAGATTTGATATATTTAGCAATAATACTGTAAGCCCAAACATAAACTAAGCATTGATGGACAGATAAATCTGCTGGTATACCCAGAGTAATTTGCTTTTTCAAGGTGCAATAGGTACCAGTGACGGATAAAAAGACCTTGATCCAACTTTAAACACGCACAACACACTAGCAGTTTGTTTAGAACAATGTAAATGCTTTGTGTGGTGTGGGGGTAAGGATTCTGTGGGGTAGATTTACTAAAGAAGAGATTGTTTACTTTAGTTGGTAAATAAGGTAAAACTATTATTCATATTAATTTTGAATTCCCAGTCATGTGTAAGGGAAATTAAACAAATCGATTCTTGAAGTGAACACAGCTCCACCATATTCCAAAATAATTCTTTCTCTACTCCTTAAGTAAATCAACCCATTTCACTTTCATGACACAGCTATGTCGTGGTGATGTGTTAGGTTATTGACTGTTTTGCACTGTTGCAGCACCTTGTGGGAGATTTATAGCTAATATTTTAGGTGTTAAAATCCTTATGAAAGTTTTTCATCTGTTTGCAGGTCTTTGCTGAGCCCTCTATCAGTTTATTTGCTCTGGATTCCTGTGAGGGAAGAGAGTTGCATTTTGAAGAGTCTGTCACCTCCGTCCTGAGTGAAGAGGTCCATTTCTACACCCAGTCCGTGTGGGTACGAAGAGGCCTGTAAGTACCATTTATCATTCTGCTACTATATGTTTTAAAGCAATTAAGCAAAAAATTAGAATAGGGTTTAACACATTACACCCTTAAAGTGAACCGATCATGTGCTGCTATTGCCTACTTCCTTTACTAGGCTTCACTACCTGCAAGCTTGACTACCAAGCTACTAGCATTTTCAGAAGGAGGCTGGCAATGGCAGCACATATATTTCAACTCTAGCCAAACCTTTTTTTTTGTTTTGGACAAAGTGGGAACATGATAGATTACCTGTTACCTTTTACTGTGGTCTGTGATCCCATCGGAGACAATTATTGATTCATGTTAGAGCAGGAAGTGATGGGAATTCTCTCCAGTAGGGGACATGTCACTTCTTTTCAGTAAAACAAAGCTCTATCAGGTTAGTAATACTGCCCCATTTTCCATTCCCACTCCCCTCATTACTGGTGATGAGTGTGGACTTGGTGCGAGCCTAGTTAGCCTGAGTTTGTCCAAGCCCACTCAAAACTGTTACTCTAACCCCCTCCCAACCCAGTCAGTTATGCAGAGGCGCATTTCCCACCCTGCAGCTATATGTCACAATGGGGCAGGGAATGACCCTGCCCCAACTGTCATCACTGATTGGGTCGGGAACAGGGGGTGTCACAGATTTGAGCGGGCTAAGGCAAACTCAGACGAACTGGGTTCGCACTAAGCCCAGGCTCATCTCTACCCATTATCTCTACCTATTACCATCATAAGGTAAGTAATAACTAATTTAAAGTAGTAATATAACAAATATGAATACTATAAATATAAAGACATGAGTTTAAAGTAGAGACTTTGTAAAGCTGATTTGCACCATCTTTTCTTTAAAAAAAATATCTTTGTTTCCATTTCTGATCCTGGAAGTAGAGATTACATGACTTTCCACTGCCACTGTGCCGTACAATAGGTCAATCAGTAGCAGAATTGACAATTTTGTAAACATCATCCCTTTTGTAGTCCCAGCAGCAGATTATATATCCCAGCATGCCTTTTTTCCTAACAAGCCCTTTTCGCAGGGTGGGCCTGGGTTGTGAGCGGCAGGGCTGGGCACAGATGGGCATGGCCAACTCCCTGATAGAGAAATCAATAGCTTGACTAACAAGGAGACAGCATTATAATAATTACAGTGACGCTCGCAATGTAGTCCAAGTGGACGCAAACAAAAGTTGGACAGCGGTGCTATAGCTTCCTGGGAGGCAGGGGAGTGGTGTCTCCACATAAAAGCAAGTGACATGTTACAGATAGGACTGGTAGGGTCACCTGGTATTTTAGTGCCTTGCACAGGGGTTAAAAGGAAACAAACAAGGACATGCTGTTCATGGTGCACAGCACATGTATTTGGAATTTGTGCCTATAGTTCCACATAAAGATGTTTAAACTGTATGTAAATATGGCATTTTATTGAGGTACCCTGACCTCTTGTAACCTTAGAAGGCGCAGCTCTTGCTAAACAACTTAGCTTAGAAAGCACTTTCCTTCACAAAGGTCTTGTGACTGTGTTGTTTCTGTCCTTTTCACTGACACTCTCCTACAGTGCCGATCTCCACCTATAAACTAAACAAATTGTGAAAGGAAATGTTAAGCATTCCTATTGCTGGTATTTGAACACACCTGTTTGCACATTCTTGTATGTGTCACTCTCTGGAATTACACTTTGTGTCTTCTTATGAACTCTGCTGAATCGTCTTGTTTGTTTTATGACAGCGAGAAATCCTACTCATCTTTTTACTACTTTACTATTTGAGATAACAAGAGTTAGTAAACACATTTCATCTGTTAAAAGACATTTACAGTGTAGTCACATTTTTAAAAAAAATTCCAAAAACAAACCGTGCAAGATCTTCACGCTATACCACCAGAATATGTAGAAGGCATTGACCCGATGCAGATAAAGGATATAATCGTGACAATAACTATGATAATACAAATAACAGAGTATACTGAAGAATTATAAGAATGTCTCTTCTCATGTATCCACCCATATATTACTTTGTTGCATACATCTATCTAGCACTAAATTGGACCTCCTTTTGTCTTCATTGTTCATGGAATGAATATATGGAAAGGTTCTGAAAACCTTCCCAATGGATTTTATGCAATGCTGTCTTTTTAGCTTCTGAAGATTTGTTAGCCACACATTCATGCGGAGAAGCTCCTTTTTCACCACATCCCAAATGGTGCTGTGCACAGCAAATTCTACCCTGCCATCAACATGTTACAGTAAAATTAGAGATCCTCAGGCTAGGTGATGTTGTTTCAATCCACAGTTGTCTAATTGTATTGTTCCTGTGCCCATAGTCTCATTTTCCTGTTCTTACCTGATAGGGTCTTCTGCTCCTGTAGCCCATCCTCTTCAAGGTTTGATGGGTTGCATTTTGGGTTCAGATATGCCCTTTTACAGATCACTTTAGTTAAAGGGAATCTGTCACTTTGCCCATTCTGGGCAGGTTCTCTTTATTGAGTACCCCTATACTGATATAAATCTTGTTGCACTCCCCCACTAATTCATTTGTCTAAATTCAGTGATACCTAGATGCAGTGTTTGGGCATGAGTGGTCAATCGCCTACACTCTGTCACGTGAGGCAGATGAGAAGGTCAGTAACTGGGTGCAAGCTCAAACCTTGTCCAATAGGAAGTTTACATAGGGCTTAGACTCAGCTTTGACATTTGATTGGCAGGGAAGGTAAGTGTCACTGGGTGGGGGTATGCCCCATGAAGAGAAGCTTCTCTTTTAGAATATTGATGAGCACTTGTATACATCTGCCTGCTTTAACAAGTTCACCCATTATCCTCTGATCTATTTAATTTTTTTTCAAAAGTTACTTCGAGAACTGCCACTCACTGGCTGTTTTTTGTTGTCTTGATCATTCTATATAAACTCTGCAGATTGCAGTAAACAAAATCCCAGGAGGTCAGCAGTTTCTGAGATGCTGCAGCCTCCCCATCTAGTACCAACAAGTCATGCAAAGATGCTTACATCACACATTTTCCCCATTGTAAAGTTTGATCTATTCTTGAACCTCTTGACCACGTCTGTCTGTGTTCTGTATTCAGTTGCAACCAGATAATTTGTCTTTTGGGGATTTGCATACACAAGCAAATGTACCTAATAAAGTGGCCTGTTTTGTTGTCTCATATCTGTAGGTACCCTGTAGCTTGCTGCTTTGAAGTGGGGCACTCCATGAGTAAGGGAACGCCTCAGGAAACACCAGACATCTTTCTTAAAGTAGTGAGGGCCTTCTATATTTCATTGCAGCACCTTATGCTTTAATACAATATTCAGATTATTTTTTTCTTAGAGTGTGTCTTTAATATGCAGAGATGTTTTTTTCAAAAAGGATAGAAAAAATCCATTGACGAGTCTGAAGTTTCTATAACAGTTTTTGCTGCTTCTCTGGGCTTTTTATAGTTGGATCATGTAGCCCTACACTGTTTGATTGTTGGTGAAAATGAAATAGAGCTTTACTGCATGCACAATGCTGGGAGCACATGCCATGCCACACTGTTTGTACACTACAAGCCTAGTGACATGCATTTGTCCTATTGGTATACTGACCTACCATTACTGATTACTTTGAGAGGCTCCAGTCATAAAATGTGGTTGTACTGGTTCCAAAGAAACTATCTTACACCAGGCTGTTTTTTTTATACCTGAACTGAACAGAAGCCAAACTTGTTATTTGTTAAGTGATTTTTCAGTCTGATTGATTGTATATTTTTGTACAAGTCATTTCTATTTTAATAATAGAGGTATTTTTGCAATCAGCCTGGGGCAGGATTACAACATTGCCCTAGCAGATGTATAACTAGACTATCAAGAAAAGGAGTCTTCGTGCTCTAGTGTTTGCAGGACACGGGCCAGTGAACAACGGAAGAGCACTAATCTGGGATTATAGATTCAATGTCAGAGATCAAGGGATTGATGTATAAAGGTTTCACCCATGGTATAGGTGGGCGAACATTGTTCGCACTGCAATACAACCACTAGATGGTGCCGAAGAGCATAGGAAATTCTGAAGTGCTTAGGAAATTCCTCTAACTTCATATAGCGGCTGTAATACTGTGCGAAGCATATGACTGCACACAGCTGGGCGAAGCCTTTATGCAATGGGCCCTATGTATCTGCTGTAATAACAAACCTGTATCATAGCTTTTAGATAGCTTTACTGGAAAAATATTTTTCTGAAAGATGTGTATTTTCTATTATTAGTTTTATTGTTTGTTACATTCAGGACTAGAAAAACTAAAACTGCCTTTTTCTTGTTTGTCAAATAAAAATTGAAATATCGTATACAAAATATTTTAGATTTACTGTTTGCTGCCCACATTTTGCACCGAGCTTGTTCTCCACCACTTCTGCTGAGTCACTTACTGCTATGCTGTGAATTGCCTGCTATTCAGGTCTATTCACAACACACAAACAACTTTTCTGACAGATGAGGAGCTTCTGGAATTTTTTTGTTGGTGTTACTGGTTTTTGTACCCTGATTACCTTAATTAATGATTATGTGATTTTTATATGTTGACATCATGGGTAGGTAACACTGGGTTTCCATTGGTCAGTTTTCTGTATATATTGGTTTCCTTGCACATTGTTACTACAGTACATCATAGTGAGATAAGGACCTTGCATTGCCCCAAAATGTTGGTGTTTCCTTTGTGACAATATGTCTTTACATTAAACTGTGAAGCATCCATTTTTGTAGTCCTGATGACCTTTATGATTATTGTATATTGAACATTTTAGTAAAACAAAAATTGCTTGTCATTATATGGAAAGCTGCCTAAAAACTAACTGAATAACAGGATGGATACACCTTTCCCCCTTGTGATCTACTTCATAAGTATCCATATGGATTTTCATTAGAGTCCGTCAAAATGGAAACAGCCAATGCTGGGCTTGCTTATTAGAAAGCCTCTTATGTTTTTAATTAAATGCAGGGTCAATGAAGCCATATTTTTTGCAAAATAAAAATTG